CGTGTGCCATTGCTGCCTGCCAATCAGTAGCTACTACGGCCTTGCAAGGTGACTGGAGTTCAGACTGGAGTTGGGGGGGGGGGGGGGGGGGACCGGTGTCGCGCAGACGCGACCCTTACCGGCTATCACGCTGAGGGGGATGGTGGTGGTTCGGGTCGCCGCTCCAGCTCGGGTGTCCGGGCGACTGGTGCGGCGCTGGCCCCGAGTGCGAGGAGTGATACTGGTGCGGCGATGGCGCAAAATGCTGGGATGGGTGTGGTGAGAGCGGCGCCGGCGCCGGTGCCGATGGCTGCTGGTACAGTTGCACTTGCGGGTGTTGGTGCTGCTGCTGTTGTGCCAGCAGCGTCGGCAGCTGTGTCGGATGGGGATAAAAGTGCGCCACCGAGGGCGGGGGCTGGTAGTGGAAGCGGTGTTGCTGCTGCTGCTGCTGCTGCTGCTGCTGTTGCTGTTGCTGCTGCTGTTGTTGCTGCTGTTGTTGTTGCTGTTGCTGCTGCTGCTGTTGTTGTTGCTGTTGCTGTTGCTGCTGTTGCTGCTGTCGCTGCTGCTGTCGCTGCTGCTGCTGCTGGCGCCACAGAAGTGAAGAGCCGGCAGGGGAAGGGCTTCGCGCCATCGAGCCGGCCGGTGAAAGGGCCCCAGGACCAGGGGAGACCGAGGCTGCCGCGGCGGTCGCAGCTGCCACGGCCGCCACCGCCTGTGGATCTACCGGCTCTAGGGCCTGGTAGAAGACACGCTGAAAGGTGAGCGGCGAGTAGGATGGAGCCACGGGGGACGGGGAGAACAGCGGCCCGGACACCGTGGCCGGCGAAAGATGCTGATGATACAGGGGGTAATGCGCCCAGGTCATGTTGCCAGCACCGGACGACGGAGGCCTGGCCCCGGGGAGGGGCGACCCGGTGGTGGTGTTCATGACTGCAGTGGTGGCAGCTGCCGTTGCCGCGGCGGCAGCTGCCATCGCCGCGGCAGCGGCAGCACCCGACGACCCGCCAAACCCAGACAGGTGAGGGTACAGATGTGCGAAGGGCCCATAGTTGTGGAAGGGCGAGATCATGTCCGACGAGGTGACTGGCAGCTGCGGGGGAGCCGGGGTCCGGAGCTCTCCGGTGCCGGGATGCACCGGGGTGCTGGTATATACGCCGGGCGAGCCGCCCGCCAGCATGCCCAGAGCGGTGTCCTGCCCAGGGGGAGCCGGGGACAGCAGGTGCAGCAGACCGCCCCCGGTGAGGGACGGCGCATGCTCCATCTGGGGATGATGCAAGAGCGACTGATGATGCGGGGTGGCTGTCGTCGTCGTCGGCGGCGGCGGCGGACCGGCCGGCGTTGTAGCCGCTCCACCTTGAGGTGACTGGTAATACCCGGACAGGGGTGACGGGTGTGCTGGCTGGCCATGTGCCGTGGCCGGAACGCCGGGCGCCGGCCCGGGGGCCGAGGCCGAAGAGGGCCGCGCCCCGGTGAAGGGCGACTTCCCCGGAGGCCCATGGGGAACGGGCGACTCGGCCGTGGTCGACTCAGCCGAAGCCCCCGGCCCGAAGGGGGCCGGGCCACGTGAGGCACCGGCGGTGGCCGGGCTACCCATCTCGCCGGCAGGCATGCTGGACACCCGCCCGGCAAAGTCAAAGAGGTTGGACATGGACTGGGAGGCCAGGGCCGCGGCCACCGGACGCCCGGACAGGTCCACCACCCCGGGCGACGAGGGACCAGGCCCACGGTCAGCCCCACCACCGATGGGCTGGCTGGCCGTGGACAGGGGCCCATGCGCCAAAGTGGAAGTGGACATCGAGGAGGGCGGCCGGATGGTTGCCTGTGAAGAGCGATCGGCACTTGTGTGGTGACCATGATGGCCGGCTCCGGCCCCGGGGGCTGAGGCCATCGGCGAGGAGAGCCCCGGTGTCCCGCCCCCGGGACCGAAGGCCGCAGGGGTCAGGGTGGCCGAGGCGTCCGGCGTGGAAAGACCGACATTCGCCCCGCCGGGCGGACGCGGCGGCAGGGGCAGGCCACTGACAGACAGGGAGCTTGAAGACCGGGAGCGCTTGGCTACTGGGGGCTGACTGACCAGCTCGGCCTTCGCCATGGTTTCTTGGGGCGCTTGCGAGTGAGGCGGCAACTGCTCGCCCTGGGGGGGCGGAGCGGCGCGCGACCGCGTGCTGGTGGCCTTCGGTCGCGAGGCCCGGGGCTTCTTGGCCCCGGAATCGGCCGCCAGTTCGGATATCGACTCGGCGGCCAGCCCCGGGACCGTGCCCCCATTCGGCATCGGCTGCTTGTCGGTGGACAAGGTACTCCCGGCTGCGGGAGCCTTCGGTTGGTGGGAGTGCGGCCCGTCGGCCGGGGCCCGAGCGCGGTCGGCGGTCGGCGAGCTTGGTGGCGGGGTTGCCGGGTAATTGGGCACCTCGATCATGGGTGGCTGTGCAAAGCCAACTGCCTGACGCTGGGCCAGAAACTGGAACATCCGATCAATCTCCGTGTAGTTGTTGTTGTTTCGGGCAAAGCGCCGATGCTCATTGTTGGCGAAATGCTGCGATGCAGTCACCCACACGGTCAGGAGTCTGTGATTGGGGCAGGCAAAGGGGGGAAGTGGACAAAGGAAGATGGCCGGGCGGGGAATGGGGGGGGGGGGGAGGGGGAAGAGGGAGGGGGGAAGAGCGAGCGAAGGAGAGGAGCACGAAATGAAGAAGAACGCACCCGCTCGACATCGGAGAAGGCACGCTGACAGCATTCACAATATCCCTGGGCGGGGCCGAGCTTCCGCGCGGCCTGAATTCGATCTGCGGTTGAGAGAGCCAGGAACCGCTGGTAATTCCGGTCATTCTCCTGGCGTTGAAGTCTGAGGGTTGGTTGTTCGCAGAGACGACGTGAGTACATTCGTGCGTGCGTGTGCGCGCGTGCGTGTGTGTGCGCGCGTGCGTGCGTGCGTGCGTGCGTGCGTGCGTGCGTGCGTGCGAGTACGGATGTCAATATAGAGCAGGTCAAGCAGGAAGCGCCGGGAGAGGGGGGGGGGGGAGCGGGATGAAAGCCCCATGGAAACGCACCTGGAGACGCTCTTCCGGTCACGACGCTGCCCCACGGGCTGCCGGGGAGCAGGCTTGCGATTCTGGAAGCGCAACTTGGCCGCCGCCTCGAGCTGCGGCGCTGTGAGCATGACGAAGGGGCAGAGGCTGCTCTCACTCGGGAAGAGGTAAAGAATTGGCACCGAGGTGGAGGGGGAGCGCTGGCTGCTGCTGTTGCCGCTGCCGACGCCCAGGCCGCCGGTAAACACCTTGTACAGCGGCCGGAATTGCTGCTGCGCATCTTCGATCAGGATGGAGGGGTGCTGAATCGGGATGAAAGAGCGTGTCTACCATCCGAATGAGGGAGGGGGGGGGGATGGCATTAGTCAGGGCAACCATCGCAGGGGAGCAACAGAAAACGACGAGGCCGGCCAGCCATCGGGCCCCGGGTAGAGGGGGGTCGCACCTGCTTGGAGGCTCGAGAGGAACGCTTCAGCACGGGAACCGTCGGAGGGAGAGCGGCTGCGACGGCGGCCACAGCGGCGGTCGGCGACTGCGGGCCAGAAAGCACGGCCGGCGCGCGCATGCTAATGCGTTGCGTGGCCGCAGCCACCGAGGCCGCCACCCGGGACGAAGGGCCAGAGGGAGCACCTGACCCTGGCTCGACCATCATCAGCGGTGTCAGGAGGTTGAGGAGCTTCTCGATGGTCCAGATCCGGATGCCAAACTCCATGGCCACCTTCAGGCAGCCGGCCTCGTTGGGGGTGAGCGGCCGGTAGGACTTTTGTGTGGGCAGAAACACGAGGCCAACGAGCGCAAACAGCACATGCAGAATAGAAAGTCAACATATGGAAGTCGGCCAATGTGGAGGACCAGGGAGCCGGGGCAAAGTAGAGCGCACTCTGACATGCTGTGACCGCGAGCGTGAAGAGGCCGTCACAGCGAGCCCGGCCGGCGGCGAGGCGGCCGGTGTGCCCCCGGCAAGTCCCGGCGGCGAGTACACCGACTGGGCACTGGAGGACTCGAATGCCAGGCCGGAGGCCCGGCTCGGGGGCGTGGGCGCCAAATTGCCAAATGAAGGGGTCGCGATGGCGGAGGTATACTGTCCGGCCGCGCCGGGGGGGAGATTTCCCGCGTGTGCAGTCAGCCGCACGCGCGCGCTACCAGGCAGCTGCGGCGGCTGATTCACCTGGCTGATGGCCAGCGGAGTGCCGGACGGAGATCCCTGCTGTCCAAGGCCAGCTGAGGGGCATAGTGGCAGGGTGCAAGAAGGCACACAGAGTCGAGAATATGGGGCCAGGGTCAGCGGCAGGCGCGAAAGGCATGGGGAGGCGGAGCGGGAGGGGGCCGATGCCAAAGGCAGGAGCACGCGTACCACCGGCGGCGGCGGCGGCGGCGGCTGCCGCCGCAGCCGACGAGGCCGGGCTGACAATTCCAGCAGCCGGACTTGTCACCCGCACACGATTGCGAGTGTGATACAGGGCGGCATTGTGGCTGCTAGTGCCTCCCGGGGTGCTCAGTCGACCGGTTGGTGAGTGCACGCCCCCGGGGCCGGTGTTGAATTCCGGCGTACCGGGCAACGACCGATGATGTGTCTGGGCGGCCAGGGAGGCCGCCGCCGCACAGGGATTACTGATCAAGTGGGTGACCTCGTGCGAGAAAAAGGGATCCACCGAACCGCCAAGGGCCCGAACGGAGGACCGGACGAACTCGGCCAACTGATCGCCATCAGCACCGGCAAGCGCCTGCGCCACCGGATTGGCCACCGGTGATTCCAGATGGCCACGGATGATATCGGGATCGGTGGCGCTCTCGAGATTGGCCTGGAGCGAGCGAAGAGCATCATTCAACAAAATGGCCGCCGTGTGGAAGGTGGAAGATGCCTCGGCCACGAAATACCGACGCCCGGTCAACTTGCCCACTGCCCCGGGCCGGGGAACAAAGACGGCCAGCGGCTTGCGCTCCGCGGTCCCGGGAACCGGGGGAAGGGGATTCAACAGGGACCCGGCCCCGGCACTTGTGGCCGGCATCATCGGGGGCAGCAAACTCCGCACACTGGTGCCCGAAGGTGCGTCGACATTGCCGGGTGCGAAATGCCCGACCGTCAGATCGGCGGCCGTCGCCGAGAGGATGGACTCGGTGGTGGCGAGCGCCGCCTCCGGGGTGGCCCCGGCATTGGCATTTGCATCGAATGCCGACAGTTGCAGCAGTGCCGAGGCCGATTGTCCAGGGACAGTGGCACCACCGCCGCTGGGGTTGCCGACGCCGGCGCCGGCTGCCATTGCAGGCGAAGCACTCAAGGACGCTTGCTGCATCGGAGCCCCATGGAAGGGCGAGTACTGCCCATACGGATGGCCACCAGTGACGGACGTCGCCGAATGGAAGGAAGCTTGTGGCAGGTACGAGGGAGGTTGGTATGTGTGCGAGGTTGAGGAGGCCGGACGTGTGGGCAACCCGGGCAAGGTGCCTGGTCAAAGTGGAGGACAGGACAGGGGTCAATGGCTGGGCATGTGGGGAACCATGGCAATCAGGGGGGGGGGGGGGAAACCGAGGAGGGGGAGGGCAATCCGAGAGCATACCAGCACGCAGAGACGATGCAGTCGGTCCTGGTGTTTGGAAGGGAGCCGCCGCGTCGGAGGCCGCCGTGCGCGGGCGCCGCGGTGCGGTGGCGGGCGGGACCGTGGTGCTGCGCCTGCCGGAAGCATCGCGCTCGCGCCCAATCAACAAGGGGGAGGTGGTCCGGGTGGAGGTCGTTCCGGTAGTGGGGTCCCCGCCACCGGCCCCGGCTGCGGCCGCCGCGGAGGCGCCCATCAGAAGCACGGCGCTCGAGCTGGAGACCGGGGCCGCGCCGGCGCCGGACGGGCCACCTGGAAGGGAAGAGGCGGCAGTCCCGCCGGTAACGGTGGACGGTGGGAGAATGAGCCGGAAAGGTGGCGCATTGTGCCCCGGAGCACGCGGGGCCGGGCCCGGCTCGGAGGGCGAGACGGCCGGCGGTGCTGGCACCGACAGCTGCTGGTACGGGTAGGATTGCTGGTGTCCACTGCCGTACGGTGAGGGCGGGTGGGAGAAGATCGATTGACCGGCCGGCCCTGGACCTGGATGGGAGTATGTCGGGGACATGTAGCCCGGCGGAGTGGATGTCGGCGCATGTGATGGCGATGGCGAAGGTGATGGCGACGGCGCGGCAGCCAAATTCGACCCGACAGTGGGCGCCTGAGTCGAGGCCGGAGCCGCAGCCGCAGCCGGACCGTGTATCGGTGATGCTTGCTGATGCAGGGGTGGCCCATTTGGCGATTGTGGCAAGGGGGCTTGGTATGCCGGCGACGATTGGTATGGATGGGATGCTGCGGACCGGGCATATGGCCCGGGCCCGGGGCTGGCGTCTGTGGGTGAGGCACCATGTCCGGGGCTGATGCCGGTCGGGGAAAGGGGCGACACTGTGCCGACAGCACTCCCCCCACCCTCACCACCAGCACCACCGGCGACAGTCCCTGTGGCGGTGGCGCTGTTGCTGCCGCTGGCGGTGTCATTGCCGGTGCTGGCGTTGTGGGTGCTACTGCTATGGGTCCTATCACCCGAGACGTGGGTCACTCGCCCGGGCGCTGTCGGGGGACGCCCAGCCGAGCGTAGTTCCGGATGGGGGTGCTCTGGCGACCCAGCGCCCGGGGCCGGAAATGAAGGAAAGGGACTGGCGAAGCCATCGGACGGGCCAGCCGTCGAGGGGGCGCCTCCCCGGGTGAATGGCGGTAGCGGTGTGGGTCCAGGCGAGAGGGAAGATGCGGCACCGGCGACAAACTGGTTGCCAGGGCTGTGTGGCGCGCCCAGGGGACGCGGCGGTGCGGGCGAGGATCTAATTCGGAGGCCAGGATGGCGGAAACACGAAACGTCAGTGGCACGGGCGGGGGGGGGGGGG